ATTTACCATTTCGTATTTAACGAAAAAACATGATCATTAAACAATTGATTTCAGATCAAAAATTGCAGACTTGAATTAAGCATAAAAAAAAGAAACGTACGTAGAAGTGATGGTACGAAATCTTTCTTGACCAGCTGTATCCCAAATCTGTAACTTCACTCGTTGCCCGTTGATTGTAACCGTTCTAATTTTAAAGTCAACACCGATGGTTGTAATATAATTCGCTATAAAAAATTGAAATCTGATAAAATCCAAATATTTCTTTCGCTTCTTGAAATTAATGTTAGATTTTAATCAGAAATCAAATAACTGATAGAACAGAATAACAAACATAAACTAAGCGAAAGTAATTAAATAAAATTTCTTTGCTTTCTTCAGTATTAGAAAATTTCCACTCCTTTATCTCTTTCTAACTACGCAGAGACTTTTTTCCAATAAATTTATGAAAACTTACGAGAAAATGTATTATCTGCAAATCGAAGCAATAAGCTACTTTTTCCAACTCCTGCAATAAAAATTTTAAATTACATGATATGAATAACTTCTCAAAATTTAATTAACTATGATAGAATTTTGATATTTTTATATTGAAACTGTCAGTCAACATATCTTTCCGTACTTGTTTGATATGAAGTTATTGTATGGTTATTTCAGAGAAAAATGATAAAGTAGTTCTTGGAGAAATTTTTCCTCAAATACATCTAACATGCTGTCAAAAATTCACCGCTATCACCAATGATAAGCAATTTGAAAAGATGATCGTAATCTCGCGGACCAGGAGCCGCACTCATTGAAATACTTTCTTCACTCTTTCCACTCCTATCGCGTCTCTCCTCCAAAGATAAGTTCCAATTACAGAGATCTAAATATATATATATATCTTATAAAATGACAGGTGAAGCGAGTTATTGCATTCTCGACGAAGGTGTGAACAGCTTGCTCATTTCAAATTAATTTCATTTCTTAGCGCCTGCGCAACTTTCCACGAGAATTGGCCCGCCCCGATTGTCTAAACAAAATTAAACAAATGATAAACAAACAGATCATCTTCACATCACAAGGAAATAACGCAGCAACGGAATGAAGCTCGTCCATCCCAATTTTTTATTTGCAGTTCTTCTATAATTAAAATTCCTAATTAAATCTTTGGCTAATATAAACATACTCATTCATAGTTTAACTTATTAAAAAAATTTAAAATACACAAGAAAAAAAAGAAGGTATCATATATGATAAGCTAACAGTTTTGTTTCTTTGAAATTTGGATAATTACGTTTCATCCTTATATTAGCAGAACTTGACTGACTAAAATGTAAATAAAATTTTTGCTTCCATTTATGCGAATTTGACATATTTGTACTTAAAAAAGTACATTAGTGATATTACATGAGATTATGCTCCAGATTAGTGGATTTGAGATTTAAAAAAATTAAAAATTAAAGTAAAATTTGTTCCAACAAATTTTAACAAATAAAAATTTGTTCCCTTCTTTTGGCAAATAAAAATTCCAAATAATGCGTTTGATAAAATTAAATCATTATGTTAATCTGAGTACAATTTTCCATATATATACATATATTTTTCTGTGATGACAATAGCAGGAAGATTAAGTCATTGCTAAATCGAGATCAAGTTTGATGTCTGCTACGATTTTATTAACAACTGCAACAACTTCTACCCGTTTAATTCAAGTTACATACTTAACGATCTATCTCAGAGTAATTTTTGTAATTCACTCTTACCACTAAACTCTAAAACTTACTAATTTTTTTCTCTTTTCATTTTCATTCTCGAATTTTTCATTTTAAATTTTTCCATTCTCATCATAAATAATTTATCAGATTGGCAACACATCTTAAGTTGAGAATTTTTGTGACAGCTAAAAATATTTCTCGTAACGATTGAAGAAAATCGAAGACAAAACTTATCGTATAACACAAATCAGAGTTTGAGATGCCGGTATTTGCACTGCGACCGATTAGTCACAACTGTGGACCATATTTTTATTTGGGAAACAACAATTCATCGTGGTAAGGTTGGATTAATTCTGAGGAGTTTTGTCGGAGTGGGATTCTTTACCTATCGAGTAATATATTTTCTTATTTTACAGTGTACCTAAATATTAAGTAAGTAAATTCTCATTTCCTGTCAAGATCAGAATGTTGTCCATGTATGTTAGCTTATACCAAAACGAGCTGATTGTCGAAGAAAAAATACTCAAACGCTTAATGAGTTGTTTCGACTAAATATAGGATGCTAACTAATTAGGCTATTCTGATTAGGCTATTCCTTGCTTGAATGAATACAAGGATACTCGGAGTAAATGATTAATGGTGCGTTTCATGCTAAAGTATTCCTCGTAGAATATAGTTATAGTAAAGTATGCCATAAATCATTTCAAAAAAAAGGAAGTCAAGTTATTATAGTAAAATAAGCATTGGGCAATGAGCGAAAATTATATTGTGTATTGTTTCATAATGATGATGGTCACGGTTATTTGATTGTATGATAGTAGTGATAATTATTTTTACAAATATAATATTGGATAGATTTTGATATTATTGCATATGCATTTTAAAATTTAATTTGTTAATTTTGGAACTAACGCTAGCAGTAAATTGTTTTAAGTCTCTGCACTATCATTTATTCATTGGATTTTGCAGCTCTTCAATTTTAAATTATGTCGAAGAGAGGACGTGGTGGAGCATCGGGAGCGAAATTTCGCATTTCTTTGGGTCTCCCAGTTGGTGCCGTTATGAATTGCGCCGACAACACTGGCGCCAAAAATCTTTTCGTAATCGCTGTATATGGAATTAAGGGACGCCTAAATAGATTGCCGAGTGCTGGTGTTGGTGATATGTTTGTTGCTTCCGTAAAAAAAGGCAAACCCGAACTGCGTAAAAAAGGTTTATCTTATTTCTGAAGTATAAACTGAATGAGATTAAGCAGTAGCGAACGATATTTAATTTGTTACACGTTTAACTTAGGTGTTTGACAAGTATTAAAAAATATTCAACACTTCGTGTTTAGATCTTCATATCATTATAATTAATAGTTACCATTTCTTCTGATTATATGATGTGCCTATACCTGGTTTATATGATAGTGGTTATAGATTTTGTTAACGCATTATAAGATACATTTAAATGTTTATTCATAGTGGCATAACTAAACAAAAAGCCGATGAGGATATTTGAAGGATGGTTTCGCGACTATAACTGATTGTACCATGCAGAAATCCTTGGCTGTCTGAGGCTTAATATGTGGTTTTGCTGATAAAATTATCTCGGTCACAAAAGCACCTTAGGTTCAGTTATGCAAATGCAACAGCTGTACTGTCAAGAGGAGATCCAAGAGATCATTTCCTGTTCTGGTGAATGGTAAATTGAAAATTTCAGTTCTACAAGCAGTGGTCGTTCGACAGCGAAAGCAATATCGGCGAAAAGATGGTTCATTCATCTATTTTGAAGATAATGCCGGCGTTATTGTAAACAATAAAGGTGAAATGAAAGGCTCGGCTATTACTGGGCCGGTAGCCAAGGAGTGTGCGGACCTGTGGCCTAGGATTGCTTCAAACGCTGGGTCGATTGCATGAAAATTGTTATTTTTCGTTAATCAAACTATTTGAATAAAATTTCACCGCTATGTGTCGAAGTAATATGCACAACATTTAGGTATTCTGTTTTTTAGAGGTTTGAAGTTATTCAGAAATCCATCATGAACATCATGTTATGAAGTTACTGTGTTTTGTTCCCCATCTAAACCTTACGCTTTCCACTAACCAGTTAAAGCGGTCTTTTATCCCTGTGGTCTCACAGTATAAAGAATCTAATGAAACCTAACATTCATTTAAACTTCGGTTCTAAGTCTAAGTCAGACACTCAAATTCCCATTGTATTTAATCTAATTAAGCCGGAGCCGTGATTTCGCCTCTCAAACAAAAGATAGGCTACAAAGCAGCAATTGGCAAGTTCGGAATCCTAGAAAATTCTCAACCTATTGGAGAATTTTTTCTCGTCTGCCGCGTAAGGAAGATGTCTTGCTTGTAGTGTATAAATCTGTCGATATCATCTGTATAGAATTTATTCCTTATATACATTCAAAATGTAAAAATTAGTTCACAATGATAGAGTGCAACTGTTTCCGAAAACCGAACAACATTGTCCTCTATCTGAGTGCGTTTTATGAATTTTGCCCAAGATTTGTTTCATCAGGACTACCTGCAATACTGTATAAAGTGACTGTATGTGTGACCTTCGTAACCAGGCTTTAAAATTACAGTGCTATATATAACGGCGTCAAATTTTACTTAATGCTTTTTCTATTCCCGGAGAGAAAAGAAAAGTGTGATTGAATAGTGAATTCTTGATCATCTGAACCATCATTCCATGCGTGACTTCACAGCTAACCTAAATAAGGATAAGGATTTTCAAACAGCTCAAATTTATCACTGAAATTAAAAAAATGCAAAAGAGAATTGGAAATGTGGTTTTTGTTTTAAAAATATCCTCATCCAAATTTCGTCCTTATACACAACCAAAACATGCATCTGGAGAGAATTCAAAATTCTTGACTAAAAAAACGAATGAAGTCAAATAAGAAACCTTTCTTGTGTCTTTAATTATTTTCGATAATTTGTCTGCTATTGTTGAATCTAATGAACGTGGCCCCTGAATATTTTTACACTTGCTTACCTGAAATTTATGTTTTGAATTTCCGTCACCGAATATTAAAGCTTGCATGGTGAATATTGAATTATTTCTCCCAATAAAATGCAAAACTTCAAATTCAACTTTAACTCACATTTTGTAGTTTCTGGGCGAGATCATTAATTTGCGAAGTAATGTATGAAGAATTTGTGATCAGCGAGTTGCTGGATAAAGTGCTGACCCAATAAGTGTTCCATAGAGAATCCAACAAACGTGCATCCAAAGCTGATTTGAAATAAGATACTTCCAATGGATAATACTGAAAATATTTAACATACTCTTGGGCCCAGATCGAAAACCACACCAACATAGAAACCCATCATGATTACTCTATAGTTTAGAGAAGTGTTCCTGCCCCATTATATCACTATCCTTTTAGCAGATCAGAATATGACAGGATTCATGATAACCAGGATGTCATGCATTCACGGAAATTAGATACAAGGCTACTAAATAACTAAATTGAGAATTTTAGATGGGATATTTGAAGACGACGCAATTTTTTAGGCACCCAAAAAATGGAGAATATTGAGAAAAGAAAATGAAAAAAACAATGAAGTAGAAAATGAAATAAGCACCCAAAAAAAATGGAGAATATTGAGAAAATGAAATGAAATAAAATGAAATAAATGAAATAAAAGCAATACCTGTTTGCAGTGAACACCAAAATCTTCAATTTTATTCAAAGGAATCGACTGATATTCTGAGGGTACCTCATCGGGAGGTTTATAGCCTTTTGGATAAGTTCGAAAAGCACCAAGTTCCACTTTTCCGGCTGACATCGTTCGAATGGGATCAACCTTGAGTAGAGGTGAAAAAATGGTCACTACTTTGAAAACAAAAAAGATTATTGCTGCTCATACAAATGATTTTATAATAAGTCTAAACTTAATGCTACAAAAAAAAAGAGAATACCAAAACTTACCACAATAGCCACAAATGGTTCTTGAAATTGTTGATTGAGAGCCTGAGTTGATACGTCAATTCCGCTTAACCAACATCCATATCCCGGATGACTGTGATACCATCCTACGACCTTAAACAGATAAGGAAAATAAGGAATTCTAAAAAATGAGTTAATCTACAATACCGTGACTATACGAATGAAACGTAGGGATCGCTCAAAAGAAATCCTTTAGTGCCTTAAAGAATATGAGAGATATTAAGAATTGAATATCTTCTTGCCAAAAACTGATTCAAAATGTCCTTTTTTGTAATATACTAAAAACATCCAACAAAAGAGTTAACCTTATGAAGCCTTCCCACTGCTTCTGAACTATCTGTATATGTTGTCATATATTCGTATGCTTGAGCTTGAGCATTTACCCGTGTTTCAGTACCTTCTACCGGTAAAGCAAAACTGTCCACCACGACTAGTGTATTCGCATCCACTTTACCTTGCACCAATCCCATCACTTCCAAATTACCACCACTTCTTGCATGCATTACCATTTTCAGCAAAGCTAACGCAGCAATTTTGATTTCCTGGAATTGAAATCTTATACATTTTATTGTTATAAAAAAATATAAATAATGCTCCTTTTAATCCCAGCATTTCAAATGTTAGAAAATATATTTCATGTTACAGGTTGTGTTGCTGTTTTCATGATCAATCTGGATAAAAAATGATTCATAACTGAAAAGCTATTGAAAAACTCGTTACTTTGAAATAATGTGGATCTTTTTCCCATGGCTTTACAGCTCGTATAGCTTGTTGTTCTGCTGAATCGTACTGATAAATTGTTTCTAATGATTCGATATTATTTGACATCTGCCAGTTTCGGAATGCCATTGATGTGGCACTACTCATCGACGATTCCATTGGTTGATCGTTGCTCATTGCGCTTATAAAAATAGTAAATAAAATTTGAAATTTTATAAAATTGATACAACTTTTTTCATTCGAAGTTTGATTTCAATAATAGTGCTAATTGTTACTAGTGCTAGGCTTATTCTGAACCTAATACACATTTTTAAATACTTAAAAAAGGAAAACATTTTAATAATTTTTTTTTTCAAGTAAGTAGCTATGAATTGAAAAAGACAAATCAACCTATCACTATAGCAATTTCTCTACATTGATCAACAAGATGATCAAATTGTGCAGACAATCACTGCAGCATGAAGTTTCATGTGGAAATAGAAAGCTGGCATATTATGTTAATTGGAGAGAGTAAAATGGTATGAATTATTTCCAGAAAAAAGATAAAAAAAAACAAACAACAACCAACGTTAACTGTCCTACTAAAGCCTTCCAATTAACATAATACGCCAGTTTTCTATCTACATCATATAAGTTCAGATTTAATGTTAATCTTTGTCAATGAAGTGAAGAATATTACAATGATATGCAAATACATATTATAAGAAAGATCTTCATTTTTGGATAATTTTGATGATTCGACTGATTAACTATCTCTCCTATCTATATATGATATCATCCAGGAAAAGAGAATAAAATGGTGTGAATTATTTTTAAAAAAAAGATGATAAAAAGTGAAAAATGAAATCTTTACAGATAATATTATACTCTAATGAACACAATTCCCTTCATCCTTTACCTTACAACAGTTACTCATTAGTACTCAACGATACCGACATCCGCCACCCGCTCGCACCAACCATCAATCAGATTACTTCTTGCTTCCGCTATGGCTTTTAACGGTTCAGTCGTCATTTCGCGGTCGACCGATGTTTGAAAGTATCGATCTGAAATCGATCTGAATTCGATCTGAAAAGTGTTGACCTGAGGTGAAGCATGTGGGAATGGTAGTGTGGGTTGGGATGAGATATGTCATGTCTGACCTTTTAATGTAGTTCTACTCTAACATAAAAGTATGTTGTGTATGATTTATCTTTCAGCTATTCATTTAATCTAGCAAATCGATTTGTTTATCGTTCATCATGTAGATTTATTTAATATGTATCTGATCGCAAAGATAGCGATTGCTATTATAACTGTTTTCCAATTTTTTTTTTAAATTTCAGCCTGCTTATTCTCTGTTTGTAGCAGAGAAAAGCAGGAGTGCTTCTGCTTACGTGTAAGACGTAAAAGGTGGCAAAGGATCGATGACAGTATTTAATACTCGATCGGTGACAACAACAGCAACAACAACATTGTCGTCATCAACGACAACTACAACTTCCGAATCTATGAGCGAAGGGAGCAATAATTGTAGCAGCACAGCACGTCAACTATCGAATGCACATGCAGCTGCAGGCGAAGCAGCTCCAAGCAATATAATGGAAAATAATGTTGTATTTCCTGTAGGCAGTGTGTTGGAGTGTCGAAATGTGTTGAATTCCACTACTGTCGGCCAGGTGATCTGCTCGGATCAACCGACGCGACTTCTCGTCCTAAGTTTATATTTTTTGTAAATTTGCTAGCAACTTCTGTATGGGCTAGTCCAGCCTGTTACTGTTCAATAGGACTTATCGAGAGTTTGTATAGAGTATGGAATTTTGCGACGTCTTTAGACTAGTTAATAAATAATCTCTGTATTTAGATAAAAATTATGCGATAATATATCTGTCTAGATGGCAGTATGCTGCTAGATGAAGTGATTTCTACTATTTCATATGCAATAAAATTTGTGCATTTCTTTTGGCAATCTTCAATCTTGCTTCAAATGCATGCTGATCAAAGATTTTTAAACTATACTTATCTGGCAGGAATTTTAGTATTGCATATGTCAACATATCACACCATCACAAATTACTTAGTTCGTGCATTTACAAAAGTTTGTGTACATTGCATGTTTTTCCAGGAGATACTTCAGAACCAGGTGGAGTACCATTGGTACGTATTATCAATCTGGCGCTTGTTGCACAGGTATGTTATTTTGATTTTTTAGATAAACATTGTTTGAAATCGTAAGCTTCGTTTGACTTTCCGAAAACTTTCACTTCACGAATATTGGAAAGATTTTTTGTATGCATAGTAAAAGTGAATCACTTAGCAAAAGAGTTGCCCCCATATGTAAATTAGTTAAGAAGTTGCAAAAACGTGGTTGAAAGAATTTATTTCTTATTTTTTTATTTCTTATTGCAGGTAACATGTCTGAAGGATAAAGGAGGTGAACAGTCGTTACCTTGGCCAAATTTACAAATATCCACAAAACAAGTACAAGAACGGATGAACCGTGCAATAGCACGAAAGAAAGCATCCATAATGCAAACTAATGTATCGGTTGAGGGACAACGAGTTTTTATCTATCTGAGGAAAACGTAAGTTTTCAATCATCAGTTGAACTGATGGTTAAATTTATGATTTATTTATTTCTTCTTAACTAAATATGCACCATATTATTAATGGTCTTCTAACCTTTTTCTGTTTGGAGAGACGTAGTATATTTGTTATACAAAATTAAATTTGCTTTACCGTTATAGTTTAAGTTGTAGAAGAGCAAATTCGTCAAAAATGCAAAATTTTTATTTTTTCTTCTTGCCGCTAAATAAAGAAATTAATCACATCCACTTCAGTTAATCATATGTAATTGTAGATTGGAACACAGGGTAGAGTGGTCTGGTAGTAATATTAAAGTACTTAATCGTGTATTAGTCCAGCCACCATATACAGCTGATTCCATTGAACCTATTGGTGACATTAGCGATACGGCAGTCGCTTCAGCAAAAGAACATGTGCGCAAAATCGTAAGTGGTTTAATGAATTTTTGGATTATATGTTTGCAGTTGCATAAAATTAAATAAACATTATAAATTCGACTGCAGTTAGTGTTAGAAATTATGGCGACTTTTCTTTAATATGATTTGTTCGTTGATCTTCGTTGGGTCTGAAAGGAAACTTTGCATTAAGCCATAATAATGATGTATAAAGATATGAAGCAAAATCAAACACGCTAAATTTGATATTACTGCGACTGTATATGAGGTTGATTTCTCCAAAGTTTTAAATAAAAACAAGATATAGTTTTAGGCTGAAATAAGAATTGCAAATGAATGAGTTGTTAATCAGACTTCGTGTAACTAAGATTTTACGCACCTTATTTTTTTTTTTAATATCAGATCTCCAAAGGCAGCATTTTTAAATAAATCAAACAATTTTGCAAATAAACTCATCATCGTGTTTATCACTCCGTAATTTTCTGGAAGAATATGCTCAGTAAGTAAATTCTGGGATTCCAAAGTAAAGAAGTGTTTTCTATTATTTTGTCTGCTTCTTTTTTGAAATATTTTCTTTTTTATTAACACTTTTTTGTGCTAGATTTAAATTCTTTAGTTAACGAAATATCACAGTACTCAGCAAATAAGTACTCCTAGCGACGATGCACCTGCGGATCCTACACCGTCACGTTAAAAACACTGAAGAACAATCAACGTCGTGTGATTTTTTTGATATTACGAAGTCCATACGATGATTATTAAGTTTAATTTCTTGGACAGTTTCTTTACTGTCAAAAAAATTATAAACTGCGCAGGCCTGTTTTGAAATGGCGTGTTTGTTTATGCTACAAAGTAGTTTCACTTATGCAATTTTTCCTTCATTACAGAAACTATTTGAAAGCAATTCATCAATTCATTTTATCAATTCGTCAAGACAGAACGCACATTCCTTATTTCTGGGTTTCTGGAGTAAATATTTGTAAAGTGTAAAAAATAAAGTTTTGTGCAGCGCATCATATTTTTGCGAAAAATGATATATGGGTCGTATCCCTGTATTATCTTTAGTTGCTTCAAAACAGTCTTATATTTGTTTTTTGAAATTACTGGATGTATAAGTCAAAGATATTTTTTAAAATAATGTATTTTGTTTTTGGAAGAGACAGGCAGATTAGATGGTTGAGGCTAATTTGCGTGAAATAAATATCGTGAAATGCCTCCACAATACTGGTTTTTAAAAATTTAAAAATCTAAACTTGCATTCAGTCCATCCTCTACAATGTTCGGCAGTGATTGGTGAAACTGCCTGAAGCATTTCAAGTAATTCTTATCTTGTGGATGGTGCTATCACTTCTCAACAGTGCAGTTACAGTGTTGTAATGTCAAATCGAGCGCGGATCGAAGTTTTCATTATAGAATGATGCAGGTATTCATTGGAGTGTCTCAGAAATGATTAGTTCTTTGAGTAGATGTGATTAATGTTATTTGTTATGGCATAACTAGTTTTATGCCTTCGAGTTAACAATCTTTGAATTCACTTCTGCTTTGGAATTTTTAAATTCATCTTTCTGTCTGATCATGATTACTTTAATTTGCTGAATGAAGGTATTAATATAATATGTGCTTTTAAAGTTATATATCAGTTGAAGGAATTAGTGTTGGCCTGGTTTCTCAAATGTTGGCAGTGCCATCTAAACCCTCCAAAATCGAACCTTTAAGCTGGCTTCAGCTGTCCTGTTGATCTTATTTTGCAGACAACCGAGAATTGAAAAAATAGAATAACCAAATCATATTTGTTATCAAATCAATTAATTAGGTGCATATCAACATTTGTGTCATTTGCTTACCATTTTGTTGTTATTCTATTCTAAGAGCGTATCTGTACATGTAAAAAGTAAGATTCTTCATCGCACTGTCTTATATGTTCGCAAGTTTACTCAAAGAACAAATATTGTATAAATTTCGAAGTAGTGAAGATGATAATATAGGAATAAAGGTAATTTTTGATGCAATATGAATAATGGGTTACTTCACAGACTACATCGATGTCGACTGGGCATTATTCTAATAATGATAACGATAGCGATATACCACAGTTATCTGCTGAAGCAATGAATGCACTAGCAGATTTTTATGCTGAAAGGAATGCTGCTGATAAAGTTTCTATTGAAGAAGATTGGCAGGTTCATCATTCATCAATGATTCACATGCATTTGTAAGCTAACGGAAAGTGTACGATAAGAAAGGTTTTAGGAATGATATTGTAATATTCAGTTGTGTCGAGTTCAGGTGATACAGTTTTTGTGTGAATATATATAGCACGATCAAAGTTATTTCCAGCTCTGATTAAAATTTTGCTGATTAATTAGTACCTCGTTTCCTCAGTTGCAATCAATTGCTTTTTTATAATTTTTAAACTAATTTCAGCTACTCCGAGGATCTTTATTCTCTTTGAGAAATTTGAATCAATTGATATATGATATCAAAAGAACTATCTTGTAGCCTGTATATATGTACATATGATTTTCCAATTTAGCTGAGTCAGTTTTGGTATTCAGAAGACACTGCTTTGAAACTTGCTGAAGAATGTGCAAAAAGTATTAAAAATTGCGGAAAAATCGCTTGCATATCATGCCCGACGCTTCTTGAGTATCTTTTGAAGAATGATGTAAGTCATCTACAAATTTGCTATCTCATTCATTTATACCTTCTAAATGTATAAAACTTGCCGCATATTTTCAGCGCATACGATATGAACATGTTGTGGTAACACTTTTTGAATATGATCAGCGATTTAAGAACAAATTTTCTAAGGAATTTGTTCCGTATGATTATCGCAAACCTTTGGCAATACCCGAATTATATCACAATGCATTTGATTTAATTGTTATTGATCCACCGTTTCTGTCTGATGAATGCTTTATCAATGTAGCACAAACAGTACGATTGCTGTCTCGTGATTCTGCAACAAAATTATTAATTTGTACAGGATTAATCATGGCAGAACTTGTAAGTTTATGTTAATTTCACATTAATTTTGAAAAGATGACTGTGAAGTGGATAGTGCAGCTTATGTAATTTTATGCTTAATATTCAAATTAATTTTTGAGTTTCAAAGCTTTTCAAGATTCGGATTCTTTTGCGTAGTTCTTTGAATTTACGTTCAACGATGAGTGTTTTTTCAGATTTTATATTTTGTTTCTTCGTTTTTATGATTCTGTTTTAGAGCATTAAAAAATATTCCTTATTTCCATACAAATAGTGTCTGTTAAGGTACTTAATAGTGAAAATTTATATGGTATTTAACAGTGAAATTATTAAGTACTTAATGGTGAAAATTTATAAGGCATTTAATAGTGAAATTATTAAGAAGGACTTATATTATCCTTAGTTACTTTGCCATTTTTTAATTGGATTAAAGTATGTTTAGTTTGGTTTTAGCATAATTCCTAAATTTTCAGATCGAGAGGCTATTTCACGCGCACAAATGCAAATTCCAACCTTCCCACAAACACAACCTTGCTAATGAATTTGCCTGTTACGCAAATTATGAAACCGCAATTTTGTAACAGTGTTTTCTCAAGTCTGCTCAGAAATAATTGCATTGGTAGAAATGACAGGCTGATATGCGAGATAAGCAAAGTGAATGAATTATGAAGAAATCAATATCTTAAAAACTAGTGGCAACGTTTTCAACAACGGTTTTGATTAAGCAATAAAAATTGGAAGATAATTTGAATATTTTGCAATGACAGCAGTATTCTTTATGCTGATAGGAGAAGCGGCAATTTTGCAATTTTGTTCCTTCTCTGGCATTAATCTTGCAATTTTATATAGAGAGCTCAGAAATTTTTGTTTATTCTGCTGTCTTCAATGGATTTATTTCTTTTTTCATTGTTATATTTTCGATAACTTGTTGTTATGCCCAAATTACCTCTTCATTTATGCATGAAATTCTTAGCACCGAACTTTCTTTTTTAGATCATTGGAATTTTTTCTTTGTTTTAGTAATGGCTTAATGTTCAAGGCTTTTTCCAGAATGTTCTCAGTTTAAGAAAATAAAATTTTCAAAGACATTTCTTTGATCAAATTTACGGGTTTATCGCCCACATTATTGGAAAATGTGTAAAAGTTGTCAAACTTTTTTCCTTGCTTATGGCAGATTTTGAACAGCTCTTATAACTTATTGCAGTTGCTACAAGTTCAAATCTTACGATGCTGTAAGTTGTTAGAATGCTAAGTAGCTTAGTTAAAGGAATTCATTCTCGATTGATTCAAGCCTTTTGCTCATCCTTTAAAGAAAATAGTATATGCAGTAGAGCTGAGAATTTAGCTAATGATCATTTTAGGTCAACTTATAACTAAACAGTAAAAGGTGAGTTTATAAATTCATGAGGAACACAGAAAAGAGAAATTATCAAAATTAAGGAAATATAATTACAATACAGCAGCAGTTACGCATGATGGAGAGTGATATAATTGGTGTAGTTGGTAATATTGGTAATTTGGATATTCAAAGTGATATAAATAAATTATGTTCGTTGCTAATGAGATCGCGGAAATATGTTGAAATAATGTTGCAATCCCTACAATTATTTAATTCTTTGCGTTATTAATTTAAATGTGATAAATGTGAACTTAAAATATTTCTTCCTGAAGTTGAAAAGATACACTGATTGCATGTTATTGCCAAAAATATCCCCATTTCCCAGTATAGCTCACAGATTAGCTATTATTGGAATTTGAACGGTACTATTATCTATAGTTTAAATTTGTACACTATTTTTTTTTCAAAAATTTCAGTTAAATCATTGCCAGCCGTTTTGGCCGAAAATGACTGAAAAACAAATGAAAGCCCCCAATCTCACTGAAAAAAATTGATGCAGTCGTAATATTGATAATTTTCTGCCTAAATTCATCAAATGGCCCCTACGGGACAAAGCGCGTCATGGTGTGATGTGCTTTGCTGTTGTATTTGTTCAGAGGTAAATTTCCTCCTTTCCATTTTTCTGAATTAATTTGAAAATAAATGTAGCTATTCTATACCTATGAGAATTTGATTATCACATTGAGAATTTATTTGCTGGTTTTTCAGGACTAACAAAATTCTATTACATTTTGATGCATTGTAAATGTTTGAATTTTTTTGGGAATTTGTAACGAAAATCATTTACTATTTTTAAAATGAATATCAGGAAGATCTTGTGTCTATGTGTCATTTGGCTTGTGTAGTGACGTTAAGCAAATGATTTGCACAATTAGAAAATATTGAAATCTGATTAAACTAATTCAGACTATTTTATTTCATTGAAATATATTTCAGATTTTTAGTTCCAAAAAACTGCCAGTAAATCTTGCATGTGGTCATACAATATGCTATAATTGCCTTAAGGACCTTAATACAAATAGCTGTCCTTTGGATCAGGTTTATTGAGATATTTCCTTCTTATAGATATAAATGAACCGTTCAATAAATAAGCGAAATTGTGAGAGGACATTTGAGGATGAAATTATTTTTGATTCTAGTAACTGAATCTTCTTTAAATATCTGGTGCATGTTAGGAATAAATACATCATGAAGTTTTTTACTTATGAATAGGTAGTAGTCGTTAAATTAACAATTTTCATGAAATAAATGGCTACTGTTTGATATTACACTAAAACGTTATATTCTTCAAATTTCAGGTTAATTACTATGACTTCTTGTTTGATTTGAGGGTTCCTTTTTATTTTTCTAGGCAGTAATTTCCCTTCCTTTCGAAAAATTACCTCCGAATCTTGCATTACTCTCAGTCCTATCAGAATTTATCGATAATGACTTTGGAATTTGTCAAGAACTCTCCAAAGAATATCGACATATTGAATCGACTCTCGTCAAATTAGCTTCCTATTTGCATCCTGTTGAATGCTTATTTGGTAATATTTTAGCAATGTGATATTTTACTAGTATTGGAAATTCTGAAAGGAAAGAACTTCTAAAACAAGACTGTCGAATTTCTGTGAGTTGAAGTGTTATGCTAAATTCGAAAGCTTTTTTTTTCAAATTGAATTTTAGTTTACAATTTTGCAAGAATTTTCTCAAATACTGGATGTTCTCTCTAATTCTTGTTCTATATTCAGGAGGAAGTGTTTGGAGTGATGAATTAAGTAGACCGATGCAACGAAAGTTAGTATCATTATTGTGTTATCAGTTAATGGAATATAAGGGTCTTCAGCGAGCACTAAAAACAGCACGGGCTTTGGCGGAACGTGCTCTTTCAGAATTGATCATTTATCATCAAGATAATTCTAATATATCAACAGTTCTTTGGTCTGCTATTCGTTCTAGAGGATGCCAATTCCTAGGTCCAGGTAGTTAGTTTCTAATTGAAGACTCAAATAATATGTTCCAGATAATCCATAGAAAAATTGGATATTAACGATAACTGTTTGTTAAGAACTGTTACGGTTTTCAAAATTTTTTTTCATCTTGCTGTTAAACAGCTAAATTAGAAGATGAATTATTTTTAAGAAGGAAGAGAACAAATAGGACGTATATCTGAAAGATAATAAGCTTGTTAGAATTAATAAAATTATATAAATAATTTTTTCCTTCGTAATACTTTGACCATAACATTTTATTTTAAGCAATGCAAGAAGAAGTTCTGAAGCTCATCCTATTGATACTTTCGGAAGGTGCATTGATGTCTCGTAAAACATTGGTGTTGTATATTGTGCAAGCATTACGGGAAGATTATCCGCAAGTTTCAAAAACGTGTGTTGGTCATGTTGTGCAGTTGCTTTATCGAGCTAGTTGCTTTAATGTAAGCTGTTTAGAAATAATTTATTCATGTCTCTGTGTGTTTAATAATTGACTTTTTTAAATTTTTGGTTAAAAAATTTGACTTATTTAACATTTTGCACACTGCAATTTCTTTGTCCAGACTATTTAAAGTTGAGCAAAATAATTTTATAATGATTACCTGATGTACTTCTTCTGTCTAAAAGATTATTTCCGGTTTTTAAAAGTATGTGTTGCAACAGTACAGTAATAAATTTGTTATAATAAATATTTTGTACTCTAAGGAAATGATAAAATAAATTAATTCTTCTTTCACAGGTATTAAAACGCGAAGGTGAATCATCACTGATGCAGTTGAAAACGCAGTTTCGTGATTATGATGCATTGCGTCGTAAGCATGACGCCCAAATCGTACAAATAGCTTTCGAGCATGGTTTGCGTATATCACCAGATCAGTGGTCAGCTCTATTGTATGGTGATCAACATCACAAATCTCACATGCAAAGCATTATCGACAAAGTAGGTTATTTGGAGTTGTAGCAGTTATTTTACAGATAAAATTTTGTAGAAATTTTTCGTTGATAAAAGAATCGGATTTAGATTTGATGATCTACAAATAAAACATTCCTTTGACCAATTTTTCTTGAAAGTTTCTGGTTTCACGCAGTATTAGTGTTAGAAATCTTCGAAAAACCACAATGTTTAGAGATTAGTAACATGATTCATTAATGTTGATTTTTATTTGAGCTGAATTCATTTTATTGTTTTTAAGCTCCAGTCAACGCAAGGTTTCAAACAACAAATCAATGACTTAAAAATCGCAGTAGAACAAAGTTCTGATCGAGAAATGCTTGCTCTAACATTCGAACATTTCGAACGTTTTGCTAATTTTAATTACTTAAATGGTAAATTTCAATAATCAGACAAATAAAATGGTAAATTTCTTAATGGTAAATTTCGATAATCAGGCAAATGTCAAAATCATTAAAAAAATCATTGATGACTTAATGATTTTTTTCATGATTTAAATTTTTTGCTGGTTGCTTGAACATTTTCAAACTAGGCTGACTAAAAAAGTATGTAGTACATATTTTATGATACAAATCTGTTCACAAAGCTTTTTTGATAAGGAACCTTTTGTTCTAGAACTTATATATTAAGGCGTTAATTTCAGTGGCAGGAGAATTTTTTTTATGCTTAATTTTTATTTGCGAGAATTTGATTAAATATTTGTATACTAACTATAATTAAGTACTTGTAAACTTTTATAAAGCTTTTATTATGTGATGTCACCTTCTACATTGCAGTTTTAGCATCGGACTTTAAAGAAATTTTGTGACTTTTTTCAGAATTACTGGATTTGACATTGGCAGTAGATTTGTTCGATTCTTTGTTATTTATAATAAAAGCATATGTAAAATTCACGCGGGCAAGGTAATATTCAATTTTTTCTATTTAGATTATTACATTATTCTATCAGATGTTTAAAAATTGACGGTTTAGGTAATTTTTACTACTGACATAGACAGACAATCTTTACAATTATTTCATAATTTCATGTGAAATCTTCTACTAGATCCTGATTTGAAGATTTGTAACATTTTCAGGAAGAGAGAGAAATTCGTTTTTACAAGTAGATATATACGTCCTAATATATGTCGTCAAAGAGATCGTAATTATAAAACACACTCTTCTCGGTAAGTTAGTTGATACTTGACTTGCTTCAAAAGACAATGAATATTTTAGCGGTTAACGGTTAAATTTCTTGATTTCCAGGAATTTTTCAATTTTGGGGGATTATGTGTGTCCAACTGATTTACAATGTATGCACACGTCTACTAGAAATGGATTTCATGCTTCCATACCACAAATACAATCTCATGCTCTACCTGTTGTCCTTGAGCGAATACCGATAGGCGTTGTATCTCTCACAGCAGTTCCACAACTTCAAATAGCAGAACTCCCATCACTGACTAATGCCTCAACAGTTTGCCCGTTATTGGCTGTTGGAAATAATGATGTTGCTGCGTTAAAGAAATCATCCGGTTGGTTCATGAACTTACACGAGAAAACATATGTATGATGGTTTCGTCTGTTATTTCAAAGTTTAAATAAATATAAGCAATTCTTTTCCTCTTAATTTTAAAACATGAAAATCCTTTTATCATTCACTTTTTCAGGAGTTATTACAAACTATTTATTTTTTTTTATTTTCTTTCATGAATCCAATTCGAAATGTCTCACCATCAACACAATCCCTTCCATCGCCACCAGTCTCATTAGTACCACTGATGTTACCAGCAGTTAATTATACCATTCCTTCACCGTTATCACCGGTAGCTGCACTGATACAAATTACAGTTTCTGGATCTGCTGGTCTGCCCGTTGGTGTGACACCAATTTTTCCAGTACCTTCATTATCCTTACAGATATCTCCAGCTAGATTTGGTTATATTTCGGAAAGGTATCATTCTTGCTTATTTAATTCTCTGACACTTGTAACAAGTCGAAACTAATTTTTCTGGAATGCTCCAATTTAAAATTTCTAGAGCTTAAGATTCAAAAAAAAACATGGATTGTAGGCTATATTAGCATGAACAGTCAAAAACAAGTCTTAAAATTTTAATGGTACAAAAAGATCTATTTTCAGTAATTATATGAGTTACGAAGTTTGCCCGATGAAGTGTAAAATACCGATGGAGCTTTCGGGTTTGTCTCAGATGCAAAACGATATACATCTGGTAGTTTAATTTCTAATTTATTGCGTACAAACTGATAAAAGTTCTTTTTTTCTTTTAGAAGACGATTTTTATGGATGATTTTGTCAACAAATTGTTGAAGAATAATGTAGTTTACTCTTACTTTATGTGTTAGTATAATGTAGATACGTTGTTTAAAGTCATCCAAATGTTGATAACGACTTGTTTTAGAGTTTTGTTTATTAAAAATGTAGTTTTAATTTTCTAACTCTTCTTTCAGGTGAAATGTGATTCTTATATTCAAAGTGGTTATGAGCAAAAAAATAATGTAATGAAGAGACAACAGTTAGTTTTCCGAAGGTATGAAGCATAGAAATAAATTTCTTTATAAAAGGCTGCTCTTTAGAAATTAATAAAGCCGAGATAAAATTGAAGTTTGAATTTAATAAGTTTAAATTAGATCATATTTATGGTTCGTTCATCAAGTTTGACAAGTACTTTTACCTTTTGTCATCCCAGCGTTACAGGTGTTTTGAAAATATATCAAGGAATAAACTGTGTTTATTGCTAAATGGTTCAAAGGTTGTATGAAGGCAAGTTTCTCTCATAATGAAGGCAAGTTTCTCTCCTTTTACACTTTTATTTCATTTCAGACAGTTGCAATGTCTGAAGCATACTGAGAGCACTGCCGATGAAAGTGCTGATCAAGACGATTTGCAAAGGTTATTTGCTTTATGAATAAATATGAATAGAAAATCTAGTAAAATTGAGGAAGATGCTACAGTAGCTTAGTCTGCTTTCGCTTGGAAGCCCAAATATGTGCTTTTTTCCAATGAAATTTAAATACTTTTTAGTCACGTATCATGCACAGTAACGAAATCAGTTTTATATGAAGATAAAGAAATTATGTCAACAAAATCGCTACAACTTCCTTCTATTTCCTTGCAGATTGCTTCCTCAACGGAACAAAGGTTGTAAGTCTTTTTTCTCAACTTTTGGCAGTTTATTTGAATTCTTAGAATATAATTGATTTAACTGTTAATGTTCTGGATTTTTTTATTTATTCATTTAATAAGCTTAGGTTTTAAAAAAATTCACAATCAGAAATTTAGCAGTTTTAATCCATTCTTGGTATTCTACATTTTTTGTAATGTTTCAGAAACAATTCGATGGAAGTAACATCCATATCGACGGCACTGTCAACAATATGTCCTGTCCTTTCCCGGATGAGTAGCACGATTCCAGCTTCCGTCCAAGCACCATGTACTATTGTGCGTATCAAGAACACCATGAAACAGCCTTTACGAACATCATGTATTCAGCAGTTGCAGTGTAAGTTTAATTTTTTGGAAACAATGTTTTAGTTAATACAATAAATATTTTTGAAAAAGTCATTTTTTCAAAATATTTCAAAGTGTTAAGTTTTAATGAATATGAAAATATCTAGTGCCTCTAGCAAAAAAGTTGGCTTCTTTTATTATGATGAAAGAATTACCATTCGAGATTTATTCAGCGTTGGAAATTCCAAGCGATTCAAAATGTGTCGTCAGCGACGCGAAGGATAAAATTGTCAATGTAGAGGAACGAGTGAATATTACACATAAAAAAGATGGTATAGTATGTTTAATCGAAGAGCAACAGCTTAAAAAAGAGTTGAATATTGCTTGTAGACAATTTCAGGTCAGTTTTGTTATTTTGGAATTTTCAAAAGAAATTTTTGTTTTTCTTTGATTGATTTAGCCTACTGATTTCTGCTATAAGTGTAAATAATTTGTCCACTATGGAAATGGATCTAATAATCTAACATCTTACGCTAAATCAATAATTTGGACTCTAGAATCTAGATTAATGGTCTATTAATATCGAATTATGATTTATTGCGATTTATTCTAATTTTTCAAGAGTTTGCCATTTATAATAACCTCTGCTTGACATCATTTTGTTATGTGCTTAGTTTTTATAACATTTCCATTTCAGTCCTTGAACAAACATATGTATGCGAGGGAACTGAAGGCAGCTGATAAGAAAGTTGATAATATCTCTCTTTAATTTGATACCGTCGTTTTGTGAAGTGAATGTGGCACAGAACGTTATTTTGCAGGTAATTCCTCAATAATGCAATATCATGGCATACAATTTACTTTCTTAAAGCTGTAATTGAAATTGGATTTTTTTTTCTTATTAAAAGCAGACATAATGTGTTTTAGGTTGCAGATTATAGAGTAAATCTGCTCCAGTTGCTGAAATAATTTTGAACAAGAGCTCCAGGTTTGCAAATTTGTCTACGTTGGCAAATAAGTGTCATACTGTATTCTTGTTTTTTAGAATAAGTACATTTCAATAAAAAAATATTTGCTATATTTTTGGTTTTGTTCTTTAATTATGAAAAGTTGCCTTCAACTGAATTTCGGAAAATAATGAAAAAAGATGAGATTTGGAGGACAAAAATTATGTATTCCTGTATGGACATCGTCTTTTTCTTTATATTTCAATTGTTTTTAATTTGTTAATCGCTTTGAATGAAATAAAACAAAAAGGAACTGCTAGCTTGTTTTGCCATGCCTTTTGCAAAATTGGAAAGAATATATGAAATTGAAAGGAGTGATAACAAAATTGAAAGTCTTTCTTAAAAAAAGACGACATTTAGCAAAAAATACAAGAACTAATCTTTCGCCATCATTCAAAGCAATAAATTAAGAGCTCAAACTAAGAGCTAAATATTAAATAAAATTAGAAACTGTTAGTGAAACTGAGAAATAGAATAGAATATTTGAGAATAATAATGTTACACATTATCAAGACAGCAAAAGATAATATTGTATTTTCGCGTACATGCAATATGGATTGATATGATATCGTGTTCTATGCAGAATTGTATGAACTGCTTAACTGTTAAATAACACTGTTGTTATCATATTTATCATCTTTGTAATTATTTGCTGATAGATGCCTTTACCGATGTTCAGAATTTCATTGATGTCAGTATGTGCGGGTCTTTGTAGCAATGGATGAAAATTTTTAATTTGTAGAGGTAAGATTCAGAATGCGAAATGTTTTTCCAGTTTTCAGTGATTTTAAATGGGGTTATTTCTGACTGAATACCATTAGAAATTTTTATATTGAAATATTTTATTTTTGTTGAAAAATATCTTTCATATTGTTAGCAAAGGTCTTCAAAGTTGTTAAATAATTAAAGCCGAGATCGAGAATCTTTAAACCTGTCGTTCAAGTATCTGATTTTAAACATAGTGGAATTTTTTGGGATTCAAAAGACAATCAATCGGGCCTTTATTTTATCTTATTTTTTTTTGATTGAATAATTTGACTGATTTTTGTTCTTTTTCCACAAATATATGCAATAAGTTATAACTTAAATCTAAATAGGCTTAGAAATTTTCTCAAAAAACTTCCCATTCGATTGTCCTCCTTTCCTATTAAATGTTGTGTTGTGAAACCTTTGTTCCTTTTTTTTCCGACATTTTCAAATGAAATGAATGTGTTGTTCAGATTTTTTAAAGTACTGCCATGTGTGTAGAGATCTGTATTGTATTTTATATAAAATGAATAGAAATCATTCTCAATTCCATATCTTTGGTGTGCTTTGATCTTGTGGTTTAAATCGCATTACTGTTTATTAATCTAATTTTTTTGAAAAGGTAGAATGATTAGATTAGTTCAATTTGTAGCATCACATATTATCCGTGTGAATGGTATAGAGTATATGGATAGAAATTAACGCTTAAATGATTTTAGTTTTTGATGGCAAAAAAAATGAAGGGATAACATCGTGTTCTTGATATTCAACTACTGATAGAGTTAAGCTGTTGTATCACAAGGATGATTTCTTAGAATTTAGGCGAAATGTATTAAAATTTAGTCGTTGTACTTAAAATTCTTCAACTACTCTTTTCAGTATAATTTGATGTTTTAAAAGATAGCATCTTGAAATGATGTCCTCATTGGCCGATTTCACTATATGCGGGACACTGGGTAATAATTTACTGAAATGTTAAAAACATTTGTGAATAGATTTTTCTGAATTTTGATATTGATGAACTTTTGAATGATGTTCTCGATTTTCGGGCAGAATTGAAATGAATTATTTTTACTTACAAGGTAAGGCATGTTCCGGAGTAAGTGACGTCTTTCTTGTGAAACGATTGGCAGATGAAAATCTTTTCGCTCTACGGATATTGCCCACTGAAAAGCTGGATTATGAGAAGATAAAGGTTGTTTTTTATTTTCAAAAAAAAAAAATGCTGTGAAGTGAAAAACCTTCAAGATTTTAAGAAAATTTCTGTACTATTAAAAGTGAAATCAATCATAGTGTGCAATACTGTGAAATTCTTTCTCCGAACTAAAGGCATAAATTAGCAGTGTTTCTGGCGTACAAACGCCAGAAACACTGCTAATTCATTTTTACAAAACATGTTTTTTCTTTCAGTTGTGTTATTCCAGGAAGAAGTATGGTTTTTGAAATGGTTATCCCATCCGTGTATTATTTCAGTTAATCAGATAATTTCTGTGGGGAGCGATGTTTACATCTTCTCAACTTTTTGCGATCTTTGTTCGTTTTTTTTAAAACTGATGATTGGATTTTGGTCCTTATTTTTTATTATAAATAAGGAATAAATACTTACTAAGGCTTATTGATGAGATAAATATTTTTATGCTATGAACCTTAGATCAGGATTTCGGATATCAGAATGAATTTTAAAATTTCGTTTTTGTTGCGAAACATTAACATGTGCTACATTTCAGGCTACAAATATTACAAGTTTAGAAATTCTATTTTGAATCTAACATCTATGCAGATTTTCTTATCATTTTCTTCTTTTAAATAGATTTAGTTATTCTTACTTTCATATTTCTGTTATATTTTCAGGTTCAGTTTTAAATGTGTTGCATAATTACTATCCATTTGGTCTGCCTGAAAAAGCTATTGCTCAAATCTTTAAAAACGTTCTGCTAGCGGTGCAGTACTTACATGATCAAAAAATCGTTCATAGATTAGTTTTTCTTATTTTTTTCAGGTTTTCATGTATTGTGGAAGTGTAATGAGTTTGTCAGAGATTTCATTCGTTGAAATTCTGTTACCATTTAACAATAACAAAATAATACTGAAGTAATGATGTAGAAATAGGTTAATTAATTGGTCTTTTAGTGCTTCCAGATAGCTTTTTTTCGTTCTCAGTTCTAGTTTACAAGTGGGTAAGTTGAAATTTTTGGTTATTTGAGAACTAATTGCCATAAATGCTGAACTTAACAGTACTAAATTCAAAAGTTTTGGATTTAAATTGTAAAAAAATATGAATTTTAGGTCTATACGATGCAGTCATATTTTACTGCATTCAACGGGCGTTGTAAAATTGACTGGCTTTCGTCATTGTGTATTTTTGCGGCATAATGAGCTAACCGGTGCCGATAATGTTCTGCATAACTTCGATGCTGAAATTTCTGATGAGCTGCTATGGTTGGCGCCTGAAATATTGAAACAAGTACGTCAGGTTAACGATGAGAAACTGTAGAGAAAAAACTTATAAAAGAAAATTGCGTGCAAAAAAAAATTTGCAGTAAATTGTAAAATGTGCAATCACTTCAAAATAAGTACATTTATGAGCCCATTTAGATTCTAAGGTATGATTTTTTTTTTGATAAGAAGTTGAAAGTTCTTTGTTTCATACAGGTGAATAAATAAAAGAATGCCTAATATCCAATAAATCTATTTCTATACATTGCTTTCATAAAAGTTCATGTCAATATGAAACTATTTCGGCAAATATGGAATTTTAAAAATTTACTGCTTTCTCTGGCATTTTCCCTACCTGTCTTTTGAATTAAATAAATAGTTTCATTAGGATCTGCATGGCTATGGTTTATTGTCTGATGTATACAGTATTGGAATAACGATATGCGAAATGGCCAATGGTTTTCCACCCTTTTCAGATATGGATCGATTACAGGTGCCATTTTGTTAAGCTTTCGTGGCTATTGATTTGCTTCTTTTCCCTTTAATGTATATTTATTTCACTATATTCTTCGGTTCTTATATACATCTTATAGGAGTATTTTTAGATGCTTTTCGAAAAAAGTAAAGGGACAACACCACGATTACTGGATTGTACAACTCTTCCTGATAAAGGTAAGTTTTCTTTGAAATTTTTCGTTATCAGTTTTGCATACCAACATGGTTTAGCATATTAAGCAAGAAATTAATCGTATTACATTCAGAAGACATGGAACGTGATCAACAATCTCGACAGCGACGGCGATTTAGTGAATCATTACATGTTATAACAGATAACTGTCTTAAACCGTTGCCAGAAAATAGGTTATTCTTATTGTTAATTGAGAAATATAAATTGAAATATATATAAACCAATTTTTTGAAACAAACAGACAGGTTTTTAGGATCACGTAACAAAGTTAGTAAGTTGTGTAACTTACAACAGTATGCAGGTTTAATCTTCGTTTGTGAAAAGAAAAAAAATAACATTATGCTTCTCCATCGTCCATCTTTTTTAGTGATTAGAGACCTGATGATTGTCTGTTGATGGAAAAGATTAAATGGTAATTATTATTTAAGAAAATGCAATTTTTTCAAAATACATGTAATTGATCATGTTTGTTAATGATATTTTCCAGATGGTCTATATCAAAGCTCTTGACTCATCCTTTCGTGAAATCAGTTAGAAAGAATCGTCCTTTCTCATCTTTGCTGCCAGATATAACGTGAATTGAGCCTTTCGAAGGTGTGTTATTGTGCTCAGTTTTTCTTTTTTGGAATCATGAATAAAACAAAAAATGTAGTTTTTTGTAAATAGCATATTGATCTTTAAACCCTGTTCAATTTTTCCATAAAGATTACAATCTATTGGCAAGAACTACAAGATCGAATAGAAATCCGATATTTTTTAATAATTTTAAAATCTTTTTTTAGACACTATTCAATGAGATTGGTGCCTTGCTGTGACCGCCGATGGAATATGAATTCAGAAAAAACTCAGAGCTATTTGATTTTGTTAGAAAATCGATAACTTGCCATTTGCTTTACGTTCCATGAAAGATTAAAATGAAAATGAAACTGCAAATCAATCATAATTTTTCGTTTTTTCCCATCTACCAGTTAGAATATCAACTTGATAATAAGCGACATTGTATTCATAATTCAACTCACCATTATTTTAGAAATTTTAGGAATTTTTGCTTTTAATTATGTCATCTTCGAAAAAAAACACATGAAAGACCCCATGATGATTAAGAATCTGTAATCAATGCAGTTACATGATCTATGCAAGCAATGTCAGTGAATAAAGTGCAGATTCTGTTTTGACAGAAATATATGATTCTCAAACTATGTCTGTCAGGCGAATGTGAATGAAAGAAGTGTGAAGGCATGAGGACTCCCGAAACTGTATTGAACATTATTATGCGTCATGAATTACTGATTAAAGATCTCAAATATATAGTATAACATCAATAACCGAATTCAAATTTAATAAAATCTAATAGTTTCCATAAGTTTAAAGTGTCAAAAATAATCTCAACTGCATGCATACGTAGTGATCATTTTTGATCTGTATTCGTACTGTATTTCAATAATTCACTCTATTTACGCTAACTGTGAATATGTTTATTGAAATTTCAACTTGAATGATCAATCAACAAACATATCAAAACTACGGAAACATACCTAGCGATCTAGTGAGAATAGCTGCCGAAATAACCAAACTTTTTTGAATTCTGGATTCAAAAAAATTAAACAACATGAAGTCATACAAAAATAACACTTAGCATTGTGGAATATGAAGATTGCTATCTTTATAATAAATAAAAGCAAGACTTTTGAACGAAAAAAAAAACTAAAGCAATGCCTGAAAATTTTGTAAGATCTTACAATTTGACAAAAATGTATGTCAGTTCTATGAGTTTAGTAACTAATAAAGGAATATTAGATCTATATAGAAGTCTTGCATAATGATCAATTAAACTTGCTTTGCGATCCCCTCGATAAGCAATTTACGCGAAAATTTTAGGCACAATGTATAACAGCTATATCGAAGACTACTGGTTTTGCATGGCAGTTTATGGTTAGGATCGCTTGTATCAATGATACATCAACAGGTCGACTAGAAGAAATCACCAATAGATCAGTATGCGAAAATCATTCATCAACCTTAGTCTATATATTCTGCATTCATCCTACTGAAAGACTAGGTTCAATTAAACCGACTGCACCAAAAGAGCAGACACATATAGCTTTGGATTCTTATATCACAAACCAAGTAAGCAGTTAATTCCATATCACTTTAACACATCCACCTATTTAAAAAGTTGCAAGTGCTATAATCTAGAGTGAATACAAAATTAGCTCAAATTCCTAATTATTTTCGAGATTCTTTTCAAGCAGTTGAAATCTCGCAAATACCGCTATTAAGTCACAGGAAGACAGTGGCTAAGAACCGTCTACGTAACCGAAAGCTTATAATTCAATGCACAACTCAGTATGCTGTCATTCGTAGACAAAATACATAGCTGACGATGCAATATATAACTAAAAGCTGTCCATTTTAGTAACCGTGAATATGTACACAACTACAAAAGGAACAAAAAAATATTTCATATTAATGATATACAAATTGAAAGTCACATATATGAATGTGCAAAAAAGTGTTTTTTGAAACACTCACTGATAAGAATTCTATATTACAGACAAACGATTTAAGCAAAGAAAATATTAAAAAAGCAAAACATATTGCAAGAGTATATCAAGAAGAGAATAACGATACACATTTTACCGGTAAATGAATCAGGAATTCCATCAATAATTTACGTTTAAATCATCAAAAGGTCAAATTGGCTGCCACCAAGTAGCAGCAAAACCTTCAAGCAGTTGCAACTATAAGTGGCAAATGGTATATAACGTATACCTAAAGATGCAATAAATCCTGACTCAGGAATAAATGCAATGTTTTATCCTATATCGGATTTATGCTCAAGTTCACATGCAAAGACACACAATAAACAACCATTAAAAAAGCATCACCTAAGAAAAATGAAGCATGTAAGCAAACCAATAAAAAGCTGCGCAGTAATTTTTATCCTGTAAGATGGAAGTGATGAAGTGCAAGAAAAAATAATTAAAAATTATAATTCGATCAAATAATGAAAGTGTTACGAAAAAATCTTTAAAAATTCTATCATTTTATGCTTCTGAAGTCTTAAAACATAAAAAGATTGATACATACAAAAAAAAATACTGCATAACAAAAATTTCATGGTTAATAAAACCCAAAGCTAAAAATTCAATGCGACAGTTGGAACGTAAGGAATAATTGAAAAAACCATTTAATCAGACAAATGAATTCGATTCACACGAAAGAAAAATTATTTCCTACTATGTGAAATACATTCGGCGATAATCGTTCGCACCAAATGCAGCGTTACATTTAGGACATTTACGTCTTCTTGTCTCATAACGTGTCTTCATACATTCCATACAAAACACATGGAAACATTTCGTTAGTACAGCGTCCTTTCTCCGCACTTTACATGACGGGCAAGTTAGAATATCCTGTAAAAGATGTGATTTTATTCAAAAAAGTTCACATTAACGATCGAACAAACAGTTTCATACTATAGTATCTATCTATGTATTTAATGACGCTGTAAACAACCGCTTAGCCTAAATTAGGTTGTTTCAATACTAACAGCAAAAAAATAATTATAAGGATCTTAGATAATTTTTGAAATTCCGTCATTTTATACAAACTTTGCTTTTCAAAACAACAAGCGAATATTAATTCCATGTTCGCAAATTCTGCTGACTGTAAACTAACTGATCCAATTCTTATGCTTTTTGTTAAAAAAAAAATCAAATATGATATTGGAAAAATAAGACAAAAAACAAATTAAACCTTGAGTTCCCTAATTTCTTCATTGAGCACCTCATCCCAATTCTCCATTTTTTCCATCTTCTTTGTCCGTTCTAATTTCTTTCTCAGTATGCTTTTCTCTTCTTCCAAACGTTTTATTTTGAACGAATCCACCTCCTGCTGTGAAGTTTTTGTTGTTACGGCCTACAAAATCCATTGGTTCTCTTTCTGAGCAAATCATATAAGCAATAGATATTTTTCTGCGAACTTAAACTAAAGAAAAACCCTGAAATCTGATAATCAGAAAACAAGCAAACCTGCTGTGCATCATTAAGCTGACTGCTGCACTTCTCCAACTGAGCCTTGTAATCAGCCGATGTCTGTGCACATTCGATTGCTTTTCTTTTATGCATATCATTCGCCTGCTCGATTAATCTAAATTAAATAAAAATTAAATCTAAATTTTAAAGTAAGGGACTCTAGTAGAGTTTATATTGAAGTTCTGAGCAGGAACAAACCAATAAAATGTATTCACAAGGAATAACTAACTAATTAAAACAATTTTAATTCTCAAACTTTTCTATCTTACAAACTAATTCAACTCATATTCAAGTAAACTTGTACGCGATATTTTGGACCTTTCATTTTCTAAATGTTATAATTTGATAAAAAGTTACGGATTTTTGAAATAAGGTAAGGTTAAAATAAATTCCCCAACCTTAGCTGATGCTCTAAATGAGAATTTTTCTGCCTCAGAAGCTTTTCCGTCTCCTCCAATTTCGATATCATGAGCTGCTGGGCTTCGATTTGATTCTGCAAACTACTAATACGTTCTTCTGTGCGCTCTCTTTCTTCACTCATCTTTTTTTGATATTGATTGGCACGTATTCGTTCAGCCATCAGCTTTAAATTCGCATCATCCTATAAAAGAAAAAAAATCTGGTGTGAAATTTAATAACTTTCAACTAGATAATAACGAAATTAGATCATTCCACTCTCATTTTACTTCCCGTCCCTACTACATTAAGCAAAAGGCATTAATATCTCAGGATCAAAAGCATACCTTTTCTCTCAGTTGCTGTAATAATCTAGTATTCTGTTCCTGCATTTCTTCAAATGCCTGACCCGTAGTTTCAACATCGTTCATGAGACCTTCTTCTTCTTGCCTCGCCGAATGCGCTTCCTTACGAAGGCGATCTGCTGTTTCTTCCAGACTTCTTTAAGGAATAAAAAATATTTTAAATTTAATGCTTATAAGAAAAGTACGAATTGAAAAAACTATATTACTATTATGCTAAACATTATGTTATATTAACATCGATAATATGAAACATTTTCCATATAAGTAGGAAAAAAAATCTACCTGATTTTCCTTTGTGCTTCATCCGAATAATATTTCATTTTTTCTCTATGATCAGCGCCAGCAAGTTTTTTAATATGGAGCTGCAACTTCTCATTTTCAAGTTTCAGCCTTCTTTCCCGTGCTAGCAGCTGAAATAGATGAATTTATATTTGACACACCGATTTGCGGAAATACGCTGGTACGGAAAGTATTCTCAACAAATAGAATTCTCAAAAATGGGAAAGGAGAAATAGATATATATGCGACTGATTTACTGACTATCATTGAAAATTTCTTTTTCATCTCAAAAAAAGTTACCTCAACTCGTTCCCTTTGCTCAATCGTCAGTGCATTTAAAGCATCTATTTTCAATTGTAAATCGGCAACTTTTTTCTTTAGCTTTCTGAAATAGCAGAAAAGTCCATCAGACTATATATTTAAGGCAACTGCCAAAAATCTTCAACAAACCTGTAACCTGCCTAGGGAAATTGAGGTATCTGTAACTTACTCATGAAAAATGATAAAGAACCAATAAATTACAAATCATTAATCACTTAACCAACCATTTAAAGGCATTATTCAAAAATAAATTTACTGCATTAAAATTTTGCACTGAATTAAACTAACTGTATCACTTTATTCGGATGTGTTCCAACATCGTTATCACCATCTATTTCATTGCTGTATTCACAGCTTCCACCATCATGCAGCATTGATTCCGAGGATTCTGCAGCATTTCTGTCCTGATCTGGTGATGCCAAAGCATCATTATCTTCTTCTATTTCAATCAGCAAACATCTTTCACGATAACGCCTTTCGCTCTCTAATTCTTTATTACACTGAAAAAGAATGATAAAATTAAGTTTTCACAAAAATTTGCACAGTTCTAAAGCACCAATACTCTGTTCCCAAATCTTTTTTCTGAACTAGAAACTCACTTTCGCTAAGGATGAAACGGCTTCTTTCCACTTCCTCTTGAAACGATTTGCTTCTTGTTTCAGTTGCTGATTTTCAGCTTTTGCTGATGCAAGCATCAGACGAATTTCTTTATTTAGCGGGCCTGAAATATGACTCATTCCGGTCTGTGAATAACAAAGACTTATAAAATATCATCAGAACTTGTATAAAGAACGACCTGATTGCTCATTGGCTGAGAGATTCTGTTCGAACTCCAAACGCAACATTTCATACTCCCTTCGCACTTGATACAATTCTTCTTCATGCCTATTCATCGTATCTTGCATTTGTTCACGAGCCTGACATTCTTCACTCTGTAAGCAGAATTTGAATAATTATTAATTCAAATTAGTGAAAGCTATAATGAAAAATTCTGAAGAAGCTCATTTTCACTGAGGAATCATCAACGCCATAAACTTGACAAACCTCCATAACTTCGATCTGTTTAGAATGAGCACTGCGTAAAGTCGCCAACTGCGATTTCGCCGTTTCAATTTGCAATCTTAAAATAGTTTGCTTAAATTTACAGTATTAGTTCCCATATGCTTTCCGTACTTATAAATGTTTTACAAACATAAATTTGTATAACTTCAATTCCATTACATGTGCAAACTCGCAAGAAATTTTATCTCGTTGGTGTATTATGAACTATGATGCATATTTGTCCTATAGCAAAGTCAATAAAGTCAAACACGGAATTTTAGACGAGATCCAAGATCTATGAATTATATTAAGGATAACTTGCCTCATCTGATTTGCTTCTGTAAAAAGCGAAGAAAACTGCGATTGTAGAGTAGTATATTCAATAGATGTCCTAATGACTTCCGTTGGAATGTTCTTTAACTGAAAAAAGCGACTTTCTAATTGCACTCCTAACTATGGGTTTCATGAATGAAACTTCAATAGCAGCCATTACGAAACTCACATTCATTTTTAAATTTTCAACTTGTTTTGTCAGATTCTTATTCTTATCCAACATTTCTTGCAATTCCTGTAAACGAGAAGCAGCCAATTCGGTTTGGATTTCCAGATTTTGCTCCAATTCTTCTAGCTGGAATCAAAAAACTTTTAACAAAAACATCCAAGAAAAGAAAACGAAATGCGAAATTAACGAAAATATAATTCAGTTTGCTGCACTAAATATAACAATTATTTAGCAGTACTGCTGCCAGATACTTGATTTTTAGCTGATAATATAAACGTGTGTTCCTGCTTTCAAAAAAAAGTGTAAACTTAAGCCATTGAAAAAAGTCTTATCAAGATCATTAATATCCCCCTCTCCCCCATTAACTCAAAATCTCGCTGGTTATCTCTAAAACCATTGCTCTGAAATTAAATGTAATTCATAACGAGTTAACATGACTTGCTTTTGATTTATTCACGCTAGCTGTTGGGGATGAATCTGCTTTCGTATTATTTGTATTATTTGGACCATTTGCTGCTGATGCTTTCATCAAATTCATTTCCAGATCGTGTGTTTTCTTTACATACTGCAACAATTCAGTAAAATATCTCGGATTTAATCAAATATTGTCTTAATATTAAAAAAATTCAAATAACTGAATCACAGAAAGCTTTTGCAGAGAAAACAGATTCCATAATTCTAAAACCTGGAAAAAATTAATAACGACTAGTACAGTATTAAGTAGTAAGCAAACCTCAGCAAGACGAAAATCAAGTTTGCATTCGCGACGCATTGCTTTTTCCAACTCATACTTCATCTCCTCCAAACTATTATCCATCTCTTGCTTGCGAGTATCAATTATCGTTAATTTATCTTCTTGAGCTGATACCTAAATATTAAACGAGAGTTTTTATCCAAAATATTTAAGCAGAACTTGCACGGATTTCTTAAATATCAACGAATAATGAGAAATCTAATAAGGCAAAGACATACTTTGGATGAAAGACTGTGGTTTTCTGACTGAAGTTTCGTAATCATTCTTTGGAGTTTTATATTTTCTTCACTTAACTCCGTATTTCTTTTCACCAACATCGCATTTACAGCTGGTCTTCCATCAGACGTAGAGGCACCTGTGTGAAAAGAAAAGGATAAAATAAGCGTAAAACTTGATAGAAACTTTAAGGATAATTTTATTACTGATACTTGAACAAATTTATTTTTTTCGGTTTCTTATTCTCAGGATGTACGCTTTCACATGTAAAGTAAAATAACTTTGTTGTTAACAAAACTAAATAAGAAAAATCCTGTATATAATCCCGCACTATTTAATAAGAGAAGTGAAAAGCCGTCAAAAAAACAGCTGAAGCTCATTTCTAGCAAAAATTAGAAAAACCAATAAGAAGCACCGTCATCTAGACTCTCATCTGTCGCTGAACAGGATGCTATCATTTCTGCGATTTTTCCATTTCTTTGTGTAATATGATCAAACACTTGAATCAGTTTCGATATTGCTCGACGACTACAATATTAACACATCTCATATCTCGCAAAGAAAAGTTTAAAAGTAGATCTTAAATCGAATCTGGATCATTTAGCCTTTTAGGAAGACTAGTAAGCTATTGAATAGCATGGTCAAAGGCTCAGAAAAAAACTAGATCATGATGAGTGATAATTTTAGAGAGTTTGAAAAGCTAGTTGGTGATATTCAACACTATCAAAACTCCGTACTGACCTGAATTCTACCCGTTGCTTCAATTTTTCTTCAGTTTCCCCATCGTCCCAGTGAGCCAATTTTGCAAGGAAACTTTTAGTTTCTTCACATTCCACTGAAACATGTCTTCTACTTAAAAACAGCTACAAAATTCTTAAATTCTCAATGTTGCACATTAATCAAATTTTATAGACATTATGTCACATAATTTATTGCTCTGATCATTATCTCAGCCTGAGAAACAAAAACTAAAATATCAAGAACCCCAAATCTGAACATAAATGTGAATTTAAAATCGATCTTTGCCAAGCAGATTAACACACTAAAAGATCGATAACGGTCGCGTTCTAAGGAAACTAAATTATATATCTATGTTTATATTTCTCTATATTTTTAAATTACAAATCATACGCATTTCGATCCTATTTTTTCATCCTATCATCCCTTTAATTAAATTCCTATATAAGTCTTGTAATTGGAAAGACGTGAAAATCAATTAAATACTTACTTTTGATCTCACCTTCCACTGCTGTTTCGGCATCGAACCTTTGCAGCAATGTCCTCACATTTTCATCGAACTGAAAACCATTCATTCCTATATTTCTATTTAAAAAAAAAATTGCACTTCATTTGAATTAGATTATCGATTTAAGTTAAACTGATTCTACTGTGCCACCTCTTACAATAACTGAAAAGCTTCATCTGCAACGATATGTGATATACGATACCCACACATGTTGCGCATTAAAAGCATCTTAATTTAATAATTGCAACTTACTAGATTCCAGAAACGGTTAATAGTGCACATCATCGCATCATCTTGAGCTTGTCTACTTTCTAACTGTTCGACTCGATGCTGCAATTGTGTCGTCTGACGTTCTTTGAGGTGAAAACGTTCAGACAACTTGCAATGCTGAACTGCCAAAACTTTTGCATCTATATCGCTCTAAAAAATTGGAAGTGTTCCAAACGATGCAAAAACAGCATTACCTTACTGAAGTACACTAAAACAAAAAATAAATCAGTACGCAATAATTATATACCGAATATAGTTACTTGAAAAAAAAGCGATGTTTTACTTATTGCTCTGAGACTTTCGAAAAAGGAAAAATGAAAAAATATGTATACACATAAAACTATAAGAAAGTTCTAAAGCCTGGCTAAGTATATTGCCAGAATCAAAAATATGCGTTCTTCAATTATCAAATTTCAGTTGCAAAGAAATTTCCAGACTTCAAGTGTTAGTTCAACGTGTTTTTTATGATTCAAATAATCTCGGAGATGAAGAAGTGAAAATTCACCGTCCCGCTGACTGAACAAATGCGAATAGGTTCAAATTCAACAAGTCTTCGCTTATTATAAAACGGTTCATCTGCTGATGCACCAGGAGAGTCGTCATCACTCCCCGGTGATGAACGTTTTGACATTTCCACAAAGTATCTAAAAAAGAAGTTGAATAATAGGAACAAATATATTATTCGATATCAAAATGTGAATTCTTTCAAAACCTTTTCTATCCACGAGTTTTGACCTCGAAGATTTCTAGATGGCAGACATCATGAATAAAAGTGCTTCTGAGGCATCTACATATGAACAGATCTTCAGACAGAATACAAAATGTTTTTACTGCAGAAGCAGACAGAAAAAACCTCACGGGATTGCTTGCACAGTGCGAAATTTCAGCATTTGGCAAAACATAACAATTTGCTATTCCATATAATGAAGAATACACATATTTTTCTGTTTGCTATTTACATCTGACTAATCCAGTCCCTACATAACTAAGCCCACTTTCTAATACAAGCACGAATAATTTTAGAAAATAAACCCCTTTAATCAAACTTGGATAGAAAAGTCAAACTCTCACTCTTACATACGTCTTGAAAAACCTTCGAGCCTGACTACTGAGACTTGTTATCAAGACCACCAAGAAGGTACAATGACACAGTTGCTTGCTGACATTACCCGGATTTTTTTTCAACAAGGAGTAAATTTCAATCTGAAAAACTCTCCATCTTTTCATTTTAATTTCTTCAGAGGTGGGGATTCTATATATTTATAATTAAATCGACTGTCAATGTAGGACAATCGAATTAATTATAAATAAAATTTTAGACATATCAACATGATACCACTCCTTCTGAACTACCAATGAAACTCTCTCTAACTTCGCAAATTCCTTTCCCACCGGTTTTGGAATGAAAACATTTTGAAATTGTATTCTGTTTCTATTTTTTTCAACAAAGAAATGAAAAAAACTGAAAATGAAGTTTCATGTTACCAGAAGCTTCACTTCATATGAACCGTTTTATTCATCTTCTTCATACATAACCATTGAGTTGTTCTATTAAGAACGAGAATTGCTGACAAATTCATCAGATTCAAATTCGTACACATTAAATTTATGTGAAAACATAATAAACTTTACTTACTAAATAACTTCCCGAAATGTCGTGCTACTGCCGTACAGATTCTCTTTTAAATGATAATACCCTTAAAAGCAAAATCCCCAAAGATGTGATAATCGATTGAGCCACTATGATAAAGTCTCTTATTAAGAAACACAACCGTTCAAAATTCCTGAAAAACATAAAAATAAATTAAACAGATTCTTTCTCTACATAGCAACCTACTTTTTTCTCGGGAAAAAAACCTATGCATCGTAATTTCTGCGCACAGCCAGATAAGATGTTCATTAGTTAATTCTAGGCACCTTCAGAGATCTTGAAACGCAGGAAACCGGAAGACTGATTAGAGAGAAATTTCAAGTCCTTCAAACAAATTATTCATCTGCCGTCTCCCCCTCTCTTTTGATTTTTCCAGCTGTTACTTCTGTCCACCTTTCAAAATAGATACCATTCGTTGGTCCACAGCCTGTATAACATTCATAATATAACATCCAGAATCCACTCTACAAAAGCAATTAAGACCATCTTTTCTTCATGGCCAATCATCCTCATCAGGTGAATAAGCTAGCAAATTTGACCCTCTTTCTTTCATTCAAAGCGTCCGACATGTTCACGATTCCAAAAATTTCATCCTATCAATGATTAAATTTTGCATTTCTGTCGCATAAACTACAGAACTAATTCTGCTCAACCATTTACCAAAAAAAAAAAGATATCGACAATACAACACATTGCAACATAGTTTCAGCTAGCATTTTTATTAACAAACTGTTCCACACTGATATTTTGCTGTTGCTATACTTGATAACATAATCTTGACGTAATTTCAACCATTTTTTTTTCCTGCTTACAATCTCTTTTTACTTCTATCAATTTCCAATCGCCATACTTCACCTTATCATCAAGATCAACCTTTACCTCAATATGTGCTATATATAATGCATACATTAAATCTCATCTATTACCACGGTAACTAACTAACTAACTGTTTAGGATCATCATAAAACCACAATCGTCCCGCTCACTCTCAGTCTTCCTCTCAATCAATACCACTGCTTTTTCTTTACCTCCTTTACCTCTTCAGCAATCTTCTTCCAATTTCAATCTATCAATAAAATAATGCGAAACTTTCACACTTACCATCTTTCTTCATTTCTTTTTTTTTCCAAACTTTTAACTAAACCTATTTAGACCATTTCCAAAAAAAAAAAGAAAGAAATCAATCTTCACTATCGAGATTTCCCATAATTACTCTCAAATAATCTTTCATCAAAAGCAAACAATAAAAAATGTCCCCAAAAACCGCACATACACAACACATCGAAACACTTTACATAATAGCGATTTATTAGAGAGAG